CTCTTAAAGCACCACGAACTCTGACCCTCTGTTGGAAGAGGCGGAAAAGAATTGCGCGCCTGCTTAGCATCGTGTTCGCCTTCGGCGGTGACCAGACCCAATCATTTCCAACCGAACGCGAACGAGCACCATACCCTCCAAACGCGAACATAAAAAAAGGAAAAAAAAGAAAAAGTTCTCAGAAAAATCTGGAGAAAAATACATGGAATGTAAAATAATAATACAAACAACAAACTTTGGCCTGGGAGGCATGTTCCAATTCTCAGCCAAACGCGAGTTCAAAATCAAAAACCGAAAAAAAAAACAAAAGACGTATTTAAAAAAACACAAAAAAGAATAAAAAAAGTTCCGGCTGAACACGTTCGGGAGGTGTTCGGCTGAACACCCGAATGTGTTTGCTCGTTCGTGAAAGCTCCGACTACGTTCGGTGTGCTACACAGGTGCGCGCCCAGCTTTACCAAAACGCCAGCGCAACATTTTTCTTTTCTTTTGACTGGCACTGCCAGCCTTTTGTGGTCCAGTAGCACTGTTCATCAGTAGAACCTGGAATTTTTGCATTATCGATTCTCCACATTGCCTAGAAAAGGTGGTGGCGGCAGTTTCAACCACCAGTAACATGTGAGCTTTTTTTTGCCGAGGCCGATTCCCCTATGCGTCGAGCTTTGTGGAAACGCCAGCTCGGCTTTTTCCTTTTTCCCGTTTCAACAGGCGCTGCCAGGCATTTTGGTCTAGTAGCACTGTTCGTACAAACTTTTCGGAATGACTCGTTCTCGATTCTCAAGTATGCCTGGGTGGTGTTTAAACCACCAGTAACATGTGAGCCTCTTTATGCCGAGGCGGATTCCCCCTGCGCGCCGAGCTTTGCGGAAATGCCAGCTCACTTTTTTTCTTTTTTCCTTTTCGACAGGTGCTGCCAGGCATTTTGGTCTAGTAGCACTGTCCGTACAAACTTTTTGGAACGACTCGTTCTTATTCTTGAGTTTTTGCCGGGGCGGTGTACTTGCGGTTTAACATTATGACAACTAAATGAAAAAAATATAATGATTTGATTTCCACTGATTTCTGCTAACACCTGTTTTCCCTCAAACCACCAGTATCACAAGGAGACCTGCTTTGTCAATGTACCAACCCTGGCCTGCCAGCCTGAAACATCACGCCTACCGAGTCACAGCGACTCCGATCGACAAGCTCAATAAGTCTGGCGCAAAACGACCATGATGATGATGATGATGATGATGATGATGATGATGATGATGATGATGATGATAACACTGACAATGATGATGATTGACATGAGGACGAAGGCAACCATGACGAATAAACACTCCTTACAGAATATTAAAAACAATAAGCTACCAATGGGCTTTTAGCTCAGTTGGCACAACACCCATCATAATCTATTGAAACGCAGACCGAAGTTCGAATCCAGATGGAACCAGATATTAAACAAAATTCCAGGAAACGGAGAAGAGGTCCTGAGACAACCTCTCTTCTGCAACCCTTGGATCACCAATCCCAGCAGAGCGACATGGACACTACGCACAAAAGACCGAAGATGGCTATCCCGGGTGGAAAAAGGTGCGTGGCACGTGAAACACATCTGGGCAGAGGACCAAGGACAATGGGCCACCGCCACGAAATGTCTTAAAAGGCTGTCACTCCCCCGCTGAGAACCTAATAACATTGATCCAGAAGTGTATTCCAACACAACGGCTCTTCCTCCTAAGGGAGGACTTCTCGTGGGAATCTGGGGATTGAGGAATACTCATCTCCCAAACCCAGCCTACCAGAGCATATCGATTCGTCTCTCGAACCAACCCACTCAGCTACCTATCTAAATTCTACTCATACCCCATCGATAATCATGGCATACAAGAGCTGGAAATCCAGAACAAAGATCCCTCGTGCGACACACTAAAACCCTTCCGACTGAGAAAAGTGAGGGTTTCAAAGGCCAAACCCTGGAAAATCTTCCAGCCAGACCTCAGCATTTCAGACCTCGAATTCGACCCGAAAGAATGGGTCTGGAAGCAGGGCAAATCCGGGAGAACGAGAATGATATTCGAATACGATGTCAAATTCGGTTATGAGTTGGGTCTACAAACCACAGATCCGGACCCCAGACTCAAAGGAAAGTGGAGAGAGATCCTGAATCTGGACCCCACGGACCCCATTTCCATCCCATGGGCGAAGTACCTGTCTATTAGACCGGTCAGGATTCGAAGCATGCAGTGGCTCTTGGCGCACGCATCGCTGTCGGTCAATCAATGGCTCCACAAGAGGAGGAAACTTACAGACCCAGACAGTTCTGAACAATACAGTCTATGCACAGACAACATCCGGAAGATATACCCCACTGCCTCCTGTACTGCAAGGAGGCAGCATGGATATGGAACAAGGTGCACGGCCTATGGTCCTTCCTCTTCTCATCACCCCCTCCGCCCTCAACTCCCCTGAACATCCTGCTCCTATCCAATAACACTAACAATCTATAAGGCGGCAAGGAAGTCTGGTTTCACCTGCTCAGAAAGCTGGCCCTATGGGTAATTTGGAAAAGGAGATGCGCCAAGACTATCGAAGGTACCGAGGTGGCAAGAGAAGAAATGTGGGTTCTGCTGCTGGGAATGGCTGAAACTGAGATTCGTTCCAGATGGAGGGAGGTGACATCAACAATAAAAGGCAGACCAGAAAGGATAGCCATCAAGAGACAGGTTTTCATGAGAAGACTGGCTTTTACAGGGAAAGATTGCGACTGTGACAGATAACAGATTGATTTGGAAGAAATGGCACAGCGTAACTCCAACAAGGACGGTGACCCAGTTTAATCTCAAGAGCATAGACAAGACAACTCTCCCCTTTTCTTGCTTTATACCAATCATCTGACAGAGTCACAATAGATTCTGAGAGGAAAAGTGGTAGGGCAGGCTGACAGTCAATCCTCCAGATATGGAGCAATCAATGCTGGTCAGGGTTCCTTCGGCCAGACGGAAGGAAGCGTGAGAGTGTTCACCATGTATTTCAATTTTTGACTTGCCGGTGGAAAGGAACCGGACTACGCTCCCCAGAATGGATATGGAGCCAGGACCATAAGGACCTGTTTCAACCAAAATAAATTAAAAAAAAAAAAAAGATATTAAACAAAATTCACAATTCAAAATTCCTGAATTACCTGGGGCCGGTCAGTGTCAGACGATATATCAAAGCTGTCGCTCAAGGCTGCCGCCCTTCTTAAGAAGAAAGAAAAAAGAGAGGAGAGGGAAGTCATTAAAAAAAAAATAAAAAAAATCAGAATCAGGTACTCACTTGTGCATGGGTCTTGGGGACCATCTTACACAGATGTATACATGTCATGCATCATCTTCCACACACAATGAACAGTAGTCTGACAATAGACAAAGGTAGAGAAGAAGAGGACCGAGTCTCACAGCTTATMTTATCAGAAATATGAATACAAAGTGTTTCAAAGTTCCCCTGAGTCCAGCGCTCATCAGCGCAACATCAATCTCTTATCAACTCAATGTGTCAGCGCTACATCTGCAGACAATCTCCAAGTCGTCAATGTGGTCACAACTTCTTCAGCGCCACCTCTGCAGGTCACATCTAACCCAGGTAAGTATCTTCCATAGCCAATCCTTGAATGAACACTT